GAGAGAGAGAGAGAGAGAGAGAGAGAGAGAAAGGGGGCGGGGGCGGAGAGCTGACAGACCTGAATCCCAGCAAAGATACAGTTGTACCATTCTACCGGCAGCACGTTGTCCGATCCTGGGAACAGACAAAAATATCGAAAGTTTCTTTACAATAAATGTTTGCTTTAGTAAGAGTTTCATGGCACTTGCAACACAGTTAAGTCATATATAAGTACCGATGATTAAAAGTGTCACATGAGAGAAACAAAAACAAAAAAGAAGGTGGAGACATAAGAACAATAGATGTTTGATAGCGAAGAAGGAGCAAACCACTCCAGAGCCCCCGCCAACCAGCATAACAAATAATGAAATCTCAAAGCTGGAAGTTCTGTCTAAAAAGCAAAAAGCAGGTTATCGAGAATTTGTCCTGAATTCCGAGACAATCAACATTTCAGCGATGTTTGCCAAAAAAAAAACCTGCAAAAAAAACCCACTGAGACCAACATTACATTGTTAAGAATTAAAGTGTCAACTGTTATTAAAGCGCAAAGTAAACTCCATGGAACACAAAAATAGTTTGATTTTATGGGGGGGGGAGGGCTAGTAATAGACTGGTTATACCTTGAAATGTTCGATGACAATAACTTTTCGCCTCTCTCAAACATGCCCATCAACGAAAAGTATAATATAAACTTGTCAGACAAGTTTAAAAGGTTTACAGTAGTTTTGTTTTTTTTAAACACGCACAATCAGAATACAGTCAAAATTGTCCAAGACGACTCCTCATTGTCGAGGAGAAAATTTTTAATGTGGTTGTCGTAGACAGGTGCGCGTTTTTCACAGTGTTCTCAAAATAGAAAGACACAAATGGGGTGGGAAGTGGTCGCTTGTACAGGTGATTGTCTTGGGTAGGCGGCCGTTAACGCAGGTTCGACTGTCGTTAGAATAGGCGGTTTCATCAGAAGCAAGGCACACAATAACAATCATTTGAATACCTATTGCTGTAAGGTACACGACTACAGATAGTCTGGGTTGCACTTCAGTTCTTTGTTGTTTTTCATTAGTTTGGGTTGTTGTTGTTTTGTTCTGTTTTTATCCTTTTCTTTTTTGGGGGGGGGGGGATATTCAGAATGTGTGAATACTTTTCGGTTCCCTAGCCTTTGATTTTCTCGGAATTTTAAGTTAGCTTTATTAGCAAAATAATTATGATTATTTTCCCAAATTTCCCTCCTGGATCAATAAAGGTTATCAAGTCATATCCTAGTGTTAAAACAATAATAGACCGCATTTATTGTCCACGCAAACGTTGTAAGTATTTTGATTGTGAGTTATACAGTATACATAAATATTTACAAGTGATCAATTTTTGAAAAGAACGAAGAAACTGGCGCTTGACTGATTTTTTTTCAATCTGTTCGATCTTTCCTTGCTTTGTTTTGTTTATTTGTTGTTGTTTTTTATGCTGTTTGTTTGTTTGTTTGTGTTTGTCAGTTTGTTTGTTGTTGTTGTTTGTTTGTTTGTTTTCTTGTTTGCTTGACATCTCTTATACATTTAGTGTAATAGTTGAGAAGCTGATGAGTACTCACCGCAGAGAGTGGCAGTGGAGATGGAGTAGAACAAAAACTTGGCGTACAGGACGAACACTTGGGCGGGGTCTTCGTTCAAATCTTCATTGACGAACTTCCAAGACCTTGTCTGAAACAAAAGATGGGCTTGAACTAATAATAATGATAATCGTCATCATCAAAATCCCCATCATCATCATCATCATCCCCATCAGCATCAGCATCATCATCATCATCATCATCATCATCATCATCATCATCATCATCATCATCA